GCTGTACACCGCAAGAACCCAGTTTCCAAAGGTGGCTTGACAGAGGGCTGCTGGTGTGCAGGAAAATTGATTTCAGATGCTCCACAGCTCTCCTGAACATGTAGAACAAACAGCATGTGCATTTTCAGAGAATAAATCGTGAGTTTCGACTGTGCACTTGCTTTGAGAATATTCTGCATGTACATAAAACTGCTATATGCACATGTGATGGCTGGGGCCCTCCACATTCCTTAAAACTGACAGTCTTTCATTTAGGTCCCACAAATGATACCTCAGACTCCTGGAGCTGGTCACTCCTCAGGTTTAATTCTGTCTGAATATAAGCTCTATGAGAGCTTACACTCCAGTGACAATTTAATCCAGAAAGCAGGGGTTCTGCTGCTTATGTGACATGCCACGGCTGAGTACAAAACCACCGCTGCCTTGCAATTTTCCAGTTTGGGTTATTATTCAGTAGCGTTGTCCCAAAGACATAAATGAAAATCACCCCCCAGTAACGCTGCTGTAACTCCCACCACAGACACTGCACACCTACCACTTCAGTGCACATGTTGCTGTGCCTATAACTGACCGCAGCCAAAGCCGTGTCGATGACTCCTTGACAACACCAACACCACGTGCAAGATCCCGGGGGTCATGAGATGAAACGAGCTAAGGTATGGCCAGAGAGCCCAGAAACAGACACCATACTTCCGTGTTTTCAAAAAAGGACGGACAGTGACTAATGAGGTCTCACAGACCTTGTTGCAAGGCGGACCAGAGAAATGAAGGGTAGATCTAATCCAGAGCCAGTTAACCAAAAGATATACCCAATTTACAGGGGTAAATGCGCCGTGGACCTATAGGTAAACTTTCAAAATAATTAGCAGTTAATTTAAGGGTGATCTTGGAAAAGTCCTAACTTAGTCAGATACTTGGATGCAGTTTCACAATAGCCTTATCCAAAACCGTCAAGCCATAAATTTGCACGTTTGCACGCTCTCAGCCACTCCTTCCCGCCTCACTCCCTAGTGACTGTACGGCAGCAAGGAAACTCGGATAAGCTGGTGAACAAGAAGAGTTGATCCAACTCAAAACTAATCTCACACACACAAAAGTCACACTGGCTGCACCTTTGCTAGCCCCAGTGCAAGAGAGAAACCATCCGTAGTCCACAGATGTGTGGGGTGCGGGGAGAGAAAGAGGAGGGAAAGGCAGCCCCTTTGAGCTGCCATCCTAAACGACCTTAAACTGATTGTGAAACAGCATCATCAACATAGGCCTATGAATCACATTTCCTTTCAAAAAATGCTATAACAGAACATCCAATCAAATCGGTTTTCCAGGAAAACGTCTGAACATCAATTGCAAAATATCACAGCAACGTAGTTTAATGCAGATAAGAAATTAAGGAACGCAGCAATTAGGATTCCTTCATCAACTGTGGTCACCTTACTCAGTAAATCCTGCAGAGGCTCCCCAGAGCCACTGGTGTAAACGAGAATCACGTGATTATGAGAGACTATCAGATTTCTAAAACACAAAACATTTCATGGATACCTAGAAAGATTTGAAAATGCAAACCAAAAGGCTCTCAATTAGACCATGATAAAAAGAGAGTTTAAAAGTATATCTGACAGCTAAGGCAGTGATTTTTGAGAGTACAAAATTATGATCTTTGAAAGGAGGGAGCTGCTTCAGGTTATCAAACAGAATTGTGTTTCTGGTTTAAAAAATCCTTATTACATTGATTAATATCCCCTCGCATGAATCTTAGGCCCCGACTCTGAATACTGGGCTGCGCTATACAACATAGCAGTTAGAGCACAGAGCTGCTGTTTGATCATGCTAGTCAGTCCTCTTGGAACGAGGTCCCTGACAAAGAAGCTGTCACCTCCATGATCAGAGTCACCTCGCAGCCCCCTGGGAGAGCACTGCGATACCTCTCCAGGGCTCCACATAGACTTACAGGCTCAGAAGCGACAAATGACAGACTCTGATCCCATTTACATTTTATTATGTAAAAATAATGCATTTGCAAGCAGGTTTTTGCATTACCTTTTCTTTCATATGAAAGAACAGTTATATGGAAATTCACTCCTGCCTTCCTCTCGCGCTGGGCAGAAATGGCTAGAATACATCACTCATACCAACAGTAAGAAACAGTAACAGCAGAGCAACTCAGCACAAATCGGCAGGAATCTCAATTCATTTTACAAGTCTGTGTCATCTGTGAATTTCTCCCTGTTCTCTTCAATCTTATCCGTTCATTATTTATATCGAAATAGGGCCTGAAGTCTCTAGCCAGAGCCGAGGCCGGCTGTGCCAGATGGCTGCATCCACACAGACTCAACCAGCCAAAAAACCCAGCTCCTACGAGTATGGGACTGTACTCTTCTGCGCTGGTTCTCGGACACCAGTCCTTAGGCCAATGAAGCACCTTGCTTGCTCCCTACACACCTCTGAAGACTGAGCCTGAGGGTGATAGCCAAAAAAAAAAAAAAAAAAAGCTTAGAAACATCATTGCTGGGGAAAAGGAAGAGGCGGAGATTTGTTTCTAAAACGGCTTTTGGTGATTTACCCTGCCAGAGGAGCTGACCCTAAGAATACTTTATGGGTAAGCAGGTAAAATAGCATTTTGGTTTAAAGAGAAGAAACGGCAAGAACAGAGAGAAGAAAATAAGTACTTCTTTTTAATTACTATAAAATAAAATGCTTCAAGTGATTCAGATAAAAACCCTCCCACTGTAATTTCAGGTCAGAAGCAGATGAAGTCTGCTTACTTCACCAATAGAAAGCCCTCTTTTAAATTGGGGAAAATTCTGATTAACCAAGATGGGAAATTAGTGAGCATAAATGAAGGGGTGCTGACCCTCTGAACAGCTGTCACTCTTCCACAGAAAAGCGGACATAGCTGTAACACAAACTGAGTGCCAGCACACAAAGTCTTTTTGAAGCGCTGATTAAAAGCACCCACTTTTGTTCCTTAATTTCAATACCCTTCGCTTTGCTTTCTAAGGAACCAGTTCTTGGGATCTTGTAGTTATGTCTGAACCATATTCTCACACACACCCCCCATATATTAAAAATGTGTATTTCTACTCTCCTGATTTTGAAAATTTGGCTCTCTCAAATTCTATTTCCTGGAATCTGCACTATCAAGACATAAATAACTCAGAAATGTTTTTGTTCTAATTTTTACGTGCCTTTGGAACATTTGACCTGGGAAGGATCTGACTTGAGACTTTTCCATGCTTGTGTGTGGCAAGCTGGTCTTCCACATATTAACTTAAAAATGCATTTTTGTGGTCATATTTGGTGGAAGAATAAGTGAAACATATTGTTTCAATAGTTAGTTGTGGAGACAAGAAGCCAGCTGCTGTTTTATTTTTTCCCCCCCGTTTACTGATTTCAACTGAAAATTAAAACAAGAAAAACTGGTATCACCAGCCAAGAAATTATTGCCCTAGAGTCTTTAAAATATCTATCATTGAGAATTTCTCAGTCCTAAAGGGACCAGGGATAACTGATAAAATGCATAAATGGGACAACACCTAGAAGGAACATAGGAAGAACAAACTTACAGAAAAGACATTTGTGAACTAGAGAAGGAATCAACATCTATTGCTTTGGTAGGAAAAATGAATCAGGCTTTATTTAAAGGTTATTTCTATTGTTATGTAAAACTCCTCAGATAACATGCCAAATTTACACAAATGGCCTTCCAATCTTTCCTGCCAGGGTGAACCACCAATTGTAAAGAATTGTATTTTGTCTCACTGCAGAATCAAGCAAATGAAGAGAAATCTGTGAACTATGAAGTGTTTAGTCATCATGTTAAGACATCAATAGGAGAAAGGAGAGATCATGCAAGAAGCTCTTAAGGCCGAGAAAAGTTTCCCCAAACAAAAACTCTATTAAAAAAGCAACACATCCTTCCTGTGGGATTGGAAAGAAACTACTCAATTTTTATCCTTGCCCTCCTTTCATTGAGTGCCCTTGACAGCAGTATTCGTACCTCTGACTGCCTATCCTATGTCAAAAGAAAACAATTCACCTCACAAAGATGTTGTCAGATTTGCGGTTGTAAAGTGACATACAAACGCTAATCATTACGATGTGCAATGGTTAAGCTTCTAGGAAGTCAATGATGAGGTCAGGAATGATTCACAACAGTCACAGCCATGTGAAAGAATGGAAGATATACAATGGGCTTGTGTTCTATCTTTACATTTAATGAGAAATCTCAATGTATTGCAGCAGTTCCTCTTAAACCACGAGGCACAGTTTTCCAGTGACTTTTCAACTTAATTTGAAAGAGCTTTTTTCCCTATTTTTTATCTATACAACAGGTTTACAAAACTCTCTTTAAAGAGGTTATCTTTGTATCACTTACCTTGGTTTGCTTTTTAAATACTTTCATCTCAGCCACCTGACCAGGGGGATTGACTTATTTTTGAAGTATCTCAACAGAAAGGAACATTTCTAGGTCTGTTAAAATTTAGCCTTCATAAAAACAACTTAAAAGAACTTAAAAGCAGCTGTTCCCTCAGGATCACGCAAATCGCTCACCAAGCTTTGTGGGGAAGGTGGAGGAGAAAAAAAAGCCCTCAAACCCACTCTTCCTTCCTCAAGGTTTCCAGCAAGAAGGTGAAATAAACTGGCTTTACGCTGTGACCTACAAACTAACCAGTCAACAAGAAAAGGTTATTTAGCACCCGAGTGCAGCAATTGGCTCAACTTTTTGTCAAGCACCCAGTAAACTAATTGTAAAGATATAATTAACTTCAAACTTCTAAAAAGAATTTCTTTTTCGTTAGCTTGCTACCTGCCTTTGCAAGACACTTTTCCCCACGCAACGCGCTGCAAAACACTGACTCCTCGGGGGGAGGAAGAGGAAGGGGCAAAAAAAAAAAAGTTGCAATACTCCAGCACCCCTGGGAATACGGGTAAGCCCGACGTGCCGGAGGCGCTGCGGGGGAATGGGGCGGCGCGGGGTGCGCGCTGCGCGGCTCGGCTCAGCCAGCCCTGTTGCCCTCGGAAGGAAGAAGAGGAGAAAGCAGCTCGCTGTCCAGTTTTGTTGGTGAGGCATCAGAATCTGTGCTGGGTGGATTTTTTTTTTTCTCCTCTGCTTTCTAAGTGTGTGGTTTTTTTTTTCTTTTTTAATCGTTAACCCCTCCTAATCTGGCTTCAGCGCTTGTAGGAGCTGGTCTGTTCGGGGAGGAGGGTGCCTCGCTTTTTCCGCGTTTCTGGAATTGCGGTTCCCTGCTTCGGACAAACAAGTTTTCCAACTGCTTTGTTTGGAAGGTTTGAGCCACAGACTGGATCCATTAAATCCATGCGCGGCTGCCTTGCTCGTGTCTTCGTGTAGGATCGCGCCGGGGATGGGGATTTCAAATTTCGGTGATAAACGAGACCTAAAGTTCAGTGCAGTTTTAACGCCTCTTCTGTGTAGCCTTTAGTAACATTACTTTTTTTAAATCTCCAATTATTTATAATCGGCCCGGCAGCCGATTATATTTTTAAAACA